TAACGTACGTAACGTACGTACGTACGTACGTAGTAGTACGTAGAGTAGTAGTAGTAGAGTAGTAGAGAGAGAGAGAGAGAGAGAGAGAGAGAGAGAGAGAGAGAGAGAGAGAGAGAGAGAGGAGAGATCAAACAACAAAGTCATAGTTGATCAGAAAAATCATGCATGGAGAGAGACGACATAAAGCACGAACGCATGGATAATCAATCAGAAAACGAGGTTTAGAGAGAGAGAGGAGATAAAAACCAAGGCGTTCAATGTTTCATGGTTCATAGATTTAGTCATAGATAGAAAGAGAAGAACATCAGTGCATGCAAAACCAGTCAACGTAATACGTTTAGAGAGAGAAAGATACCTCCAATTGAGAGTAGAGGCCATAGTGACCTTTATTTCTCAAGAAGAGATCGACTGTGTCGTTGGCTTCAGCATTAGGTTCAGAGGTTTTATCAGCAGTTCCCACGGCTTGCTGGCCCCCCCTTGTGTCTGAGAAACACCCTCCCATAGCTCTGAAACACCATGAGGAAACGCAAACCCCCACAAAAACCGAAAAAAAAAAAGTATATTCATTAGCAAAAAACCATATGAAGAATCAGTTTCTGAACAATTTTGTACGAAATTAACGCCCCGTAAATTTAATGGAAGGTTTGAATTTTGAATAAATGCCCATTATATCAAGGCAGATGAAGCGGCTAATAGCAAATGTAAGAACCTGGTTTCTCTGGATCAATGGCGGTCTCTGGAGTTGAAAAGAGAATAAAATTAGGGTTAGGGGAAAGAAGAGACAGAATGAGCATCTCACTGGTGCCTGAGTTTGAGAGAAGAGGGTCTCCTTTGTGGTAGACCGCTATAATGGGTGTGCTTATTTTTAGTGGGATGGCTTCATTTGGAACGCAAAGAGCAGGTGGGAAATTTTAAGATGGAGAAAATCGAAATGCCAAATTGGTTTGTATAAGGCTGACGCCATAAACAATCAAATTAAGGCGCACTTTTTAAACAGTTTCGGACGATGTTCGGTACCCAAAATCTTTATAATAACTTAAAATTTTATTTTTATCTCTAATTACAAATTTCAACCTTAAAAAAGGTCCCGGTTTCTATACAGCCGCATATGTAGGAATATGGGCTTATTAATAAATATATTTTTGAGATGGATTGTTTGGCTTAATTTTTAAAGACATGTAATCTCTACTATGCTGATCATGAATATGAAAATAAATAAATTTTAAAAACTATAAATAATAATTATAATAAAAAAACATTTGAACCATTAGTTTGTATTGTTTTTAGATCGATCACCTACTTGCATTGATCTTTAAGACGGATGCTTTATACGTTTTGGAACCCATATATAGTCAGAGCGATCCAGTCTACATGAAACAAAATTTCTTTAAAAAATTGTGTGGATCAAGCAGTCTATGAATACTTGAAAATCTTTAAAATTGACGGTCAGGATAATGCATTATAGGATGTACTATTTAAAGTTTTTTTTTTTCTTTTTTTTTTAATCCATATATATCAATGTCGAGATGATCAGATTTGAGAGTTTTTCAGCACCAAAACAACTTTTTCTACTAAATTTTTTAGGTGCGCCAATTTGGTTGCTTAATGTCTTAACCTTAAACAACCAAATTCGAGAATTTAAGAGGGAAAAAAAATAGAAAATTGAAATTAATTTGAATTTAAGAGAAAAAATAGAAAATTGCATAATGGTTCAATAGGTAAAGCTGCGGGTTCTGGACGTCTTGGTGCGGGCCACGACAGACCACAGGACACTAATTCGTAATTTGGGTCTCATGTGCACGGTCGTCCAATCAGACGTCAAAGCTAGCGCAATAGAAACATAAGGCCTGGAGACACGATACCATCTTCATATATACATAAAAGACGCTGTTGTTATGGGTCCTAGGACTTCTATGTAGATATGTGTCCCCCCTTTGTGATTTACTTTTTAGGTGGATTTTGGTCCTAATTTATTAGGTATATATATAATTTCTAATATGGATGTCATTGTTCACTAATATGTAAAAGATAGATGATAAAAACTAAAAATGATAATTTTTTGAAAAAAAATTGACCTTTGGATTTTGCTTTTCTTTTTCTTTTTTTTTGTTAAGAGACCATTGCTTTACATCCATCTTTAAAATGGATATTTTATGCCATCAAAATGCCATCCAAAAATGATGACATGTGGTTACAATCACTTGTAATGGAGCCTAAAAATCTATTTTAAACTGAATAATTTGAAGCTCTAAAATAGTGCAAGGTGGATGAGTGAACAATTGAGGTCCACAAAAAAATATTAATTTAGAGTTTTAAGTCTTTTTTTCTACATGTATAATTGATGAGGTCCAAAAATCTAATTTGAAGGTGTTCCGAAGTTGATAATAGTTTGTAACATTCAGTGCAATTATTATCTATTTCTATCCACCCAACAAAAAAAGGACAATGGTTGGATAGGGCTACAGGCCTATCCCAAGAAATAAATCCTCACATCACAACTTATTGAAAATTGCAATTCAAGCATTGAAAAACCTTTACATAACATTACCATTGTGGAAAAAAATTTGATTTTGAGCTCTAAATATAGTGTATATCATAACTAATTATCTAAACAGCTCATTTCGCGCCAAAAGCAAGTGCACATAGATCTGCAAGATCTCTACCATTTTTTGAGTTTTGAATTTCATTGTCAGTATTGGAAATTGATTTTTGAGCCATCATAGAGATTTCCATTGCCGAAAGTGCTTTCTGAATGAGGCTTTAAAGTGAGGCTTTATTTTGTTTTCATAAAGCATGGGCCTTATAAAAACCTCATCCGAAAACATATATATCTATTTCTAATGTTTATTATGAAATTCCATTTTTGTCTCAATATTTGGGAGAGAGATAGAGCGGGGAAGAGATTGATACAGATGTAAACAATACAAAAAGAAAAATAAATGCAAGGATCTATTTATGATTTGCAGAGATTGATAAAGATGTAAAAAAACAAAAAGAAGAATAAATACAAGGATGAAATTATGATTTGTATTTATATTATTTCATTGTGTACCATCAAATAAATGTATATATAACTATTGGATTCTAATTTGATGGTAGAGAATGAGAAAGCTATCTAATGCATAGAAGGTGAAGTAGGTAATGGAGTTGTTTACTTTCCAGTTTCCAAAAACACGGACCTTCAAACAATTGGGCATTTGGTAAGAAGCGGTTGTTAAAGACTTCTTTAGGAATTAACTATGAAAATGCCTCATGCCGCAAACTAAAATATACACAAGCCAAATAATTTTTATACTCTTGCGGGAATATAATGTCCATTTACTCCCGTATGTAAATCAATATAGGAGTAATTTTATGACTCTAAATTTTGGAGATGTAACATCTTGAACCCATAGACTTACCTTGATGATAATAAATAAATTGAATTAAACTCTCCACGTACTAGAAAAATAATAATGTCTCAGAGAACAAACATTGTATAATTTTTTAAAGTGGGATCTAAGTGTCGAAAAACTCGAAATTCAGTTTTTTTTAAAAAAATAGTCATCTCTTGATTCCTAAGTGATTCCAAAAATTGAAAAAAATCCTCCCAAATATCAACTAGAGACACCCTATACTCAAAAAAAGGTTTCTTGTCAGTGCCAGTATTCTTTCATTTTGGTCCATCGGGTAAAATATAATTTAGTAGAATTTATAAGGCCCAGACTTTGGGGTTACAAGAGCAAATCTCATAAGAACAAAAAGAAAAATGAAATAAATCAAATGGACTATGTAAGTGCTTTAAAATATAAAGTGACAAAATGTTGAACAACAACTATCCAAATTTTTTACGGTGAACTTAAAACTGCGTGTTTTTTTTTTTTTTCTTCTTTTGAAATAATCACAAGGTGAGTTTATGCGTATAATAAAGAATTAAATTGAAAAAGATCCTCTTAAGTAGCTTGACCTGAGGGACTAAATAAATAATATGATTCCAGGAAGACATGCGCTCCTTCATAGCATGTGAGCTCATATATAGAATGCCTCTCATTTGTAGGGCTGGCAATGTGAAGGCCTGGGCCACACGAATCGAATCCAAATTTCATTTTAAGCACTAATCAATGTAAGCCCTCCTTACGTGGGGCTTACGTTGATTTTAAAAGGCCTCTTGTATGTAGGGCTTAAATTGATTTTACAATCCTCTTGTATGTAGGCTTGGCAATGTGAAGGCGTGCTTAAACGGTTTAAGCACTAAGTAATGTAAGCACTTTACAATGCACCCAAGCCAATGTTAACAATTAATAGGGGTGGCAATGGGTCAGGTTGGGTCGGCCCAAAAAATTAAGGGGACCTACACCTGAATCAATTTTTTTAAAAAAATATTTAAAAATATGTAAATATTATATTAAATTCGTAATGAATTTATTCAAGAGAATTTAGACGTGACACCAATAGGCGATAAAATGAGAGAGAGAGAGTGGACTTAAGTAGGCTGCCTATGTGTGGTGCCGACCAAGTACAACATCTGCTAGGAAGTACGAATTAGTTCAAGTATAATGACTGAAAAGGGTAAGTAGGCTCAAAAAGATGTGGTTAAAAATAATTCGAAAATATAAGAGAACTTATGGCCTCACAGAGAATATGGCCTTTAATAAAGCAGAATGGATAACCATGATTTATGTGGCCAACCTCAATTATTTAAAAAAATGCTAAAATGCTGATGATGATGATTAAATATATATATTAAATATTGTAACAAAAAATATATAGGTATATTTATTTAAATATTAATTAAATAATATTTAAATATTATATATTAAATATTATTTAAATAATTATACTATTCGGATCGGGTCCGAGTCCACCTGGACCCGGACCCGAGTAGTGTTCGGGTCCAATACTTGGACCGGACCCGGCCTGACCCGACAGGTTGGGTCCAATTTGTTGAGCCATACCCGAACCCGACCGTCGGGTCCAGGTCCATTGCCACCCCTATTAACAAAACCCTTGGGTGGTATCCATTCCTACCACTAACACCCCCAATTAACACCTTCAAAATGTAACTCCCTAATCTATTGAAAAAATAGGTAGGGCCTATCTTTCCCATTGAATTACCCAAATAAAATAAAATTGAAAGCCTTACATCTTAAGCATAGTTCTAAAACACCACCTCAGAGGACCATAATTAGAGACTCAAATGAAGATGGCCATTTAAGAGCCAAATCTGAAGTCCCAATTAAAGACCTGATCGAGTTTCAATTCAAATTTCTTATAACTAATAAAGGTACAACAGATGTGAACAGGGTAAGATTGCGGACTAAATTAATTTGTTCAATTATATGAAATTAAAGCTTTCTGGCTTGTTTAGAAGTTTAATCGATATTCCTGAAAAAATCAATCTTGATAATAAATTATTTGATGTTCGGCAGATGTCCAACACACTGTTATACGATACGAACTTATAAACAACTTTACTATTGAGTGTATATATTTTTTTCCAAGATGTTTTTACTCCAAGTAATTTGTTGAAAATCTTTTTTTTTCTTTCTTTTTTTTTTTTTACTAGAAATAGCTATAAATAGCTGGAAATTACTGAAAATTTTAAATAATTAAATAATATTATACATAATATGAGACATGAATCAACATCCAATACAACAGTGTTATCCAAGAGTATCAATTTTAGATAGGATAGTGTATTTCACATAAAACTATGTCATCCACACATGCCCTTATGATTCAATTTCAAACTTATAATATAGCAATGTGAATTTTGAGAAATTGCAATTTGTGTAAATTAATTATGCTATTAAATATACAATAAAATGAAATATAATATGTAGCTAAACTCAAAATATAAGTTTTGAGTTTAAACTAATTTAAAGACCCTATAGACTAGAAATATTAATGAATTTATTAAT